CAGTTCCCGAGCAGCGATTGCTGCTCCCTGGCCAACTCCCCGCAGCTTATATACTGGGCATGACGTCATATGGTATGGAATAGCCCTTTGGTCAGTTTGGATCAACTCTTCTGGCTGTGCTCCCTCCCAGTTTCTTGTGCACCTGGCAGAGCATGGGAAGCTGCAAAGTCCTTGACTAGCATAAGTGGTACTCAGCAACAACTAAAAACATCAGTGTGTTATCAACATTCTTCTCCTACTAAATCCAAAACACAGCACTATGCCTGCTACTAGGAAGAAAATTAACTCTATCCCAGCCGAAACCAGGACACCCGTACTGACTTCCGAGGCAAATATGGATAATGGAAGTGCAGGAGGGAAAAAGGAGGCTTGAATTTGCCCAGCTGTTTAGTGAAAATTGGAATGTCATCAGCTGTGAAAACACTATGTGCATTGCATATACATTACTCACAGGCTTCCTACCATACCCAGATTTATAGATTTAAGCATAGCTTTGTACTATCATCTGCACACCCATACTGCTTCTCGCCCACGCCACAGCAGCCCGTACCTGCAAGCGTGAAGGACCTGCCACGGTGACTTCCAAATACTGAGTATTTTAGGGCAGGATTCGCAGCCCAGAATGATGGAAGCCATAGGACACGGAAAGAGCTGGTGGCAGAAAATCAATGAGTTTAAGACTTTTGAAGTGGAGGTTAGCTAGCATTCCTAGTCAACCATAGGGGGGGCAGAAACAGTAAAAAGGGTGTTTTCCTTCCTGCCGATTGCAAAAATAACTCCCCAAGGAGATGGCCCTATGTCCCTGAGCAACTTGAAGCAGATTCAGATTTTTACACTATTATGGCTCAGCTCTAATGGTGAAGATGGGGCAATTTCCTGGTCCAAATAAATAAGGCGCGGGGGGCTTCAGCGCACGCCGGAGTCCTCGGCCTGCACGAAGCAGCTACCTGCTAATGTCAGCGTTGCTGCCTTGCTGCCGTTCGCTCCGCTGAGGGAAGGCTTCTCCGGACCACTGGTGTTCCCGCAGGATTTCACACGAGGGTGCACGCAAGGGTGCGAGACGCGCTCGTTTCCCCGGCACCCTCCACGGGTGAAGATGCAGCAATTCTGGTCCTCTCCTGCGGTAACACGAGGGGGAGCCCTTGCAGTTTTCAAGCAAGGGAGACGGCAGCCATACGCCTTTTTTCACCCCAAATACAAAGGCTTAGTTCCTAACTAGAAAAAAAAAAAAAAAAAAAAAAAAAAACCCACAAAGTGTCATGAACAAGAATTTGTGTTATTCCAAACAAACAAAAAACAAACAAACAAAAAAACCCCAAAAACCAAACCAGGAGGTCTGAAAGCCATTTCTTTCCTTCTTCACAAGCAGACCGCTTCTGGTTCAAGCCACAGATCACTAGGAGAGGGGAAGGTCACTCGCTACAGATCCCCTTCCCACACATCCCCATTTCTGAAGAGGGGCCAGCATGGACTGTGGACACATTTTCCCATGTTCTCATCTAATTTGTCATTTCAAGGCACTCCAAGAATGCCAGGGAAAGAATTTGCTGGTACCTGAGTTAACTCTGAATAGCCCTACGGTCAAATTTTGCCCAACAGAAATGAGAAAATGGGATAATCTCTTTACCCCTCAATTAAATAAATAATACCCCTACCCTTGTCAACAGGGCTCACAAAGTTTGCTTTCGGGGAGCTTTGATGCTTTCAGGAGGACGGCTTTGGCCACTTCGAAAAGACACAGCAGTTTTTGCTCTCCCTTGCCACCCAATTTTAAACACATTTAAGCATAGTACTTCACTATATATTCCATGCACTGTTCTGTGCATGATATATCACTTTATATTCTATAATCCTACTTATATATTCTGTTTTTCAGGACCAAGAGAAGTGCTAACTGCAAGTGCACCTACTGCAAGTTTTTGGTGCTGGTTTTTTTTTTGTTTGTTTGTTTGTTTTGTTTTTTTTTTTTACGAACTGCTGGTGTGTCTCTCCTTAGGAGGGATTACGATGAAAAAGCACCTTACTCACAAGTCACCGAGTTGCATACTTCTGCTACACCAGCCTTCCTTCAGAGTTCTGCGTCCCAATTTTCTTTAAAGCATTCAACAGCATACATTTAATTAGCAAAACAATTCCATCTGTTCTGTGAGTCAATACTGACAACTTTAGTGTTAAAATACACATATTTCTCTTGGGGCGGCTGTGCTTAATCCGACAGGGGAGAAGAGCCAGCTGTGCTCAGAGCATCATGCCTAGGGCCCAGGCTCCCATTGCAGGGCTGCAGCCCCGCTGACGCCAGGGACTCCCGAAGGCCTTCACAGCCCCACCCCGGCCACTGCTGGCCCCTGGGACCCCTAAGTCACCTACATACCCTAAACGCAGGCCTCCAAAGGCAATTCCACAGAACCACTGGTAAAAGATTCCTTTTTTGGTTGTTTGCTTAAGTTTTGGAAAGTGACACAGAACAACAAGCTCAGATGAGAACATGAAACAGGCGCCGGACAAGCAACAGGACCCTGGAATCGAGACCCTAACGGGGGACGGGGCAGTAAGAGCCAGCTAAACCTCATCCCCCACCAAGAACTACTCCCCAGCCTTGGTACTGCTGACTTCATCCTCTCCCCATAGCCTGAGGTGCAGGAAACCGGGCTCTCTGGTTGGAGACCAGGCTCTCTGCTTCTCCTACAGCAGAAAGCCCCCGGGGCTCATCTACTCCTGGGTCTCCTTGCCAGGGAGTGGAGCAGACCAGCCCTGCCTGCCCCAGGTCTCTGTCGCGTTGCAGTTATACGACAGCTTCCTCACCGCCGCGGTGCTGTCACGCTCCTGATGAGCTCTTGCAGATTAAGCATCTCCCTTCAGCTTACAATAGTTAAGAAAATATGGAAGAAGATGAGATAGCGTCTCCCCCGTTCAGATCCTGCCTCAGTCATAACCTAGAGGGCAAGCTTAGCTCATTGCGGGAGATAAAAGGTAGGACGAGGTATCCAAATCAACCACAGGTGAATCCCAACTTGTCAGTCTGAGAAAGGATCATCTAAAGGATGAACTGTTGAACTCAACAGGAATGGAAATATAAATAAAAAAGTCTAGGGAAAAGTAAGGACCAATCATTTAAACCAGGGACTGGGAGCAAACAAGGAACTTTTTTCCCCCGCTGATGTCCTAGAGAAATGGTATACTGATTCTGCCCTGGGGCTGCTGTTAATCTATGAAATATCTAGGGTTTTTCCACCCCCACCTTTTGATTGAAATCGCTGCGAAGGGTTTTACTTGTTCTCAGGCAGCAGATGAATTTTAACTTTCATCTTTCCATAGAAGCAGCAGCCTTGTTACGTAGGGCATTTGAACACTTACACCGTCAGCATAGGACGCAGCGTACCCCTCACCAAAATGCAAGCAATCAAGAAGAACAGATTTGTTCATGCAGCACTCCATGAAATCCTCACTGCAAGCATGCAGGTAACAATTAAATTGGTAAGAAATGAATCAGTTAATCCAACAATAGTGCAGTAAGTTGGCCCTGAAGCAAGTCAAATGAATTAACAAAGCAGGACAGTAAAGCAGGTTAACAGAAAAAAGTAAACGTAGAGTCATTTAATAGGCACCAAGACATCCTGGCTCCAGCTGAGCCTGACCCTACAGCACTGCTAAGAACTGCTCAGCTTAAGACTTGAATGCCTTCTCCTCTTAGAAAAGCTCATCTCTTCACTGATGGCAGGCAGTGCCTAGGAAAGTCAGGCTGACCAGGCTAAAGTTACTGTTCTGTTTACTCCCTTGAATCCTACTGCTCTGGTTGAATCAATTCAAGCCCTTCTGCACCCCAGACAGGTAAACTGTTCACTAGGTTACCCCAACCAACCCACTCAAGTGAACATATGCAAGCCCAGACCTGCAAGGTTGAACCCAAAAGACATTATCCGTGACTAGGGCAGAGATGCAGAAATTACCTCCAAAGGTGTGCGTGAGACTTCATTAACACCCACCCCCGTGTGGGTGTGCTTCCAAAGTAGCAAGGTTATACTTAAAAAAATTAAATACCTACAATTTGCTAGAAAATGACGCGTACGAGCTGCAAGCACGATGGCTATTGTTCAAGCTGAGGTCACTATGAAGAGACTGCTTGAAGGGTAACATACGGGGCACTGCAGTAGCAGCACATTCTCGGGTAGCGAGGGAGACAACCTACATGGACATAGTTGGTGCACTCCAAGAGCAGGAAGCCAGAGGAAGGCAATGCCACCACAGCACTGGTTACAAACAAGGTGGTGGTGCCACATACTGAATGCACAAGCAGAACGCCAACAGGTTATTCATGTACAACAAAACACATTATGTTACGAGCACTAGGGCAGAAAGAAAGAAAAAAGCTTTTATGCCACAAAAAAGGCTCGCATGTACAAGCACATAAGCAACACAGTTAATTCCCAATACCATCATAGCTTCCTATTTAAAGTTATCTTCCAGGAAGTAATGTAAATACGTGCCTTTGTGCCACCAGCACCTGTCCGCGCATTTCTGCTTGTCTCAGATATGGCTATCAGCAAATTTCAAAGGACACGAAAGGTTTGATTATAAAGGTAACACGGCTCTACATTTTCCCCAGCTGGAAGCCTTCCTTTCTTTTTAGCCCCCAACCTTTACCCCTGCTACAGCTGCCAAGTTCTGCAAACAAATCCACTTCTCTGTTTGAGTCAGATAGTTCCCAGTAGGTTAGAATTATGTAAAATATACCGTGCATATAATCATAAAATCACATACAATAGTAACGCACCTAGATTAAATCAATGACTTCGGCTTCAGTCCTCATGAGATAAGAACATACTAACCCCCTTTTGTGAAAGAGGACAGCGATGTCCAGAAAGTCACGAGTTGCAAAAACTGTACCTTGTTTTCCAAGCCCCAGTTTAAAGCCAGAACAAAATACCCTTTGCCCTTGTTTAAAAATAAATGCTAAACTTTCCGAAGATGCTCCCAGCCATCCAACCTACTGATCTAGTTGAGCACGTTATGGAAAGCCCAGTAGAGAGATGAAGTCGCCCTTATGAATGCATCAGCCCTTTGCATTATGACCTCTTAAGACAGGCTACTACCACAAATGTCTTCTTCGGGCAGACCAGAAACCCAAAGGTACAGCTCCTCAGCCAAAATCCTGTCACTTTGGTGCTGCAGAAGCCCTAACTCCAGAGTGCCGTCGTTAACTTTATAGAAGGTACCATGCTGAAAGTGGCAGGCTTTGGTGGGCTGTCCCTTTCGACCATTGATGCTTCAAGGTAAGGGCATAAGGAGAGAAACCACATTGTTGCCTGTAAGCTGCTAATGCCACAGGGGCTGGTAAGCTCTTGGAGTTTGTCCTTCAAATGCAGGGAAGGGCAAGTCTTTATGAAGCCTGCGTGCATATACTCCCATTCACACGAGAAAAGGGCACAGCAGGGAGCGTCAATTCTCAGCACTGGGCCAAAGTTTAGCTCACGTGAAACGGTTCCCCTACTCTGACCTCTGCTCCTCTCTCCGGAGTACCACACGCACAGCGTACCAGAGGCACCTTATAGCGAATAGAGACCACAGATGGCAGCATCAAGATTACTCTTCCACTAGCAGTGGGTGCCACACGGATGAGAATTCCCTTTTTTTTTTTTTAAGGTACAGAGAATTTTCCAGCTTGCTCAGGAAACCCTAAACTTGTAATCACTTGCCTAGGCCATTGTAGTGTTCTTGCTAGTTAGCCCCTTCAGCCTCAAGCCACATCTGAACAGAAGGAAAAAATCCACTTTCCAAGGACACCAAGGAAAATGAATCATTCAACAAAATTTGAAATATACAGTTTACCAAAGAACACTTATGAGTTACTAACCAATAAACAATGAACTTTTTTTTTGTTTAAATACATTATTTAATGAGTTTTTTTAAGAAAGAGATATTTTGAAGCTCAAATTACAATAACGTACAATCTTCTAGATCTACAGTAGACAGTACTATAAAGATTTACCAAACCAGTATTTTCACGTTTGCTCCTCTGCTGTTATTGTTCAAGGAAAAGAAACTCAAAATCTCTTGCTAACAGCAATCCTGTCCTAACTTGGCTATTTCACCCTAGAAGAGAATAAGGACAACAGCCTGTTACCACAGTTCTCTCCCCAAATACAGACCAAACGTCAAGCAGGAGCAAGACACTGTCATGATCACACACTTAATTCAGCTTTATTTAAAGAGTGATAAGTAAAATAGAGCAGTTGGTTGGAGGCAACATCGAAAAGGGTGTTGCTCCTTTCCCACAGGAATCACAAAAAAATGCCCTTTTGCTACCAAAGTCAAACTGGCATTGAACTCATGTTCACTCAACACATCTGAGCAAATCTGAGTTCCCATAGGTAGCTCTGAGTTCACTTTGCCACCTTCTCTTTCTATTTTCCCTCTCCTCTCCACATCCAATGTTTTCTTTCTCCCTTTTCTTAGCCCACATTATCCTTTCATCGTTTCTATCTTCAGTTACTCAGTCCCAGTGGGACAGAGCCAGAGCACCGCTCCTCTTCAGTCTTCTGGCATTGTCAATACTGTGGCAAAGGGCAAATCAATAGCGCTGAATTAGTACTGAGGAAGAAAAAAAGAAACAGGTCAATTCCTCAGAGAGTTGTTTCGTATCTTTTAAAGGCCATTTTGCATGGCCTTTAAATTCTAAAAGTACACGTGAGCTCCTGCAGTTAGTGTAAAAACATGATCGAGCTGAAAAAGCTTCAACACCTCTCGGTTTAAACTGAGCAGCACGCTGATGGACCACAGCAAGCTACGGTTTGAAAGCTGCTGCTCAGCTATTCAGACATAAAAGCAGACATCAGGTGTAAATTTCATATTTATTATAACAAAAATTATGACATGTTCATTTGTGCATTCGGCTTTAATATAACTCTTGGTATGTAAATGTTCTACAGCAAATGAACTCTATACAATCATGCTGGTTGTGGCAGCAGTAAGGAACACAAACAAAACGTGTCTGTAAAAGTAAGGAAAGAAAGAGACCAGAGGAAAAAGTGGGTTTCTTTAAACGGTCTACACCATCTCGGCTCTAGCTAACTTGTACACAGCCACTCAGTCCGTTACGCTCCATGACCATGGCCCAAAGAGTCGCTTAAGAAAAAAAGGTCAATTTTTTAGGTTGTGTCCTTAATGCCAAGGCTACAAAACATGTAAGCATCACTATACAACACTGAGCTATTTACAGGAATTTCCCAATCAACTGTTCTCTCAGAGAAAATTAGTGAATCTCAGTGACTTAAGTCACCTGAAAGAGTAAAGCAACTCCTAGGAGTTAGTCTCCATATTCTACAAATGTCTATCATTTTCAAGACCAAAAAAAGCCTTTTCTCTCAAAGAAATACAGTATTACAATATTACTTAAATCATTTAGCACTGGCTACTGCCCTGCTTTTCAAACAAAACAAACAAGCCATTTTAAAAAATATTACATCATCATCTGTTTCTCAGCAATATATTAAACCTTTTTATTCTTTTTTTTTTGTTTTTTGCTTTTACACTTGATATGTTAAGGGGAGGTTAACTATTTTAAACTTTACCGGTCAAGCGTCTCTAGAAGAAAGTCAATGAATATTAAACCTAACAAACTGAAAAGCTGCAGTTATCTGTAGTGGCAGGATAAGGAAAAGGACGTATATGAAGGAAAAGGATAAGGAAAACCCCTGCTGTAATGCAAGCCCGCTGGGTCCCGCACTCAAGTCTCCTTGTTTGTTAGTTTATTTCTGAGCAGTAAATAGAGTGGGTCATAGTGGTGTATCATAATAGTCTGCCAGGTGGTCCATCGGATAATGCCGCTGCCGCCTCCGGTGGCGCCTCTGTGTTTTCTCG